TTACAGTCTCGGTCTGCCTATATAAACCAGACCAGCTATCGCACTTTTTCAACAGGTTTAGTATATGCCTAACCCTGTCTCACAGCGGACTACCGGTTCAGGCTAAGAGCCGGAAAATATTCTAACCTATACACCACCACGACTGATGCCATGACCTCTATGTCCACACGGCTCGCTTCCTCGTATCGTCTACAGGCGGTAGTACACTGAGCCCATTACAGCCTCCTCTAGTCTAACATCATACTTGGTCGATAGGTCCATCCGTACGGGACTGCTAGTGTGGCCGAGTAGGTGGTTGTCTAGCTCGGGTCGGCCGGGATGGCTGCCCCACTCTAGTTGGCCTGCTGCCTTGGGCAGGGCGCGGACGGGTAGCGGGGATTATGCTGATCTGCTTCTTCGTGAATGTGGGGAATGGCCTCGGAAGGCCCAAGTTAGCATTTCTCGCCGGCTTCCGCGCCACGGTAATGCCTTCGTTCGCCATGAACTGCTTGCATCCCCAAGTGAGCAGACCCTTATCATTGACAGATTCACCACCACCGCAGGCATTTTGTGCTATGTCACAATCTCATCAGCACCATATCGACTGCACTGCCCACCACAGAATGTGAGACGGGTGTAATACTCACGTCCTAGGGAGCCACTTATGCCTGCTTTTCCAAAGGCCACAATGCGCGTGGCTGGGGGCCGTCTCCGCGCCTCCTGCGACACCTCATCATCCAAGTTATACTGGAACGGCGTGTTAGTAATAGTAAGCATCTAGCGGCAGACCCACCATTCGACATGGTGTGGCTAACCTGCAGTAGGATGGACTTACCTGGTGAACTGTGAAGACTTCCGCACAGCTCGCTCGGGTCTGGTGCTCCTTATTGACGGGGCCTTTCTTAGAAGCTTGTAGCTGTGCCTGGCATCGCTCAAGAGCAAGTCGGACCTCCGGTTTGGAACGCGAATCGGCGAACTTGTTATACACAAACCAGCCACCCTTTAAGCTCGAGGACAGGTAGACGTCGTTCCCGAGAGCCATAGCTGCCATCATGCTCGGCTGAAGTTTCTGATCGATACCGTCGGCCCGGAACTTGGACTGCATTTGCGTGTGGGCCAGGCTGGCAAGCCCGTAGAGTTGGTCGTCCGTGAAGAGGGTGGCAGTGTCTGCTGTGAACGTGAGTTTAGACGAGTAGATAACGCGCTGGGCGTTCTCGTAGGCGCTTCTGTCGAGCTTAATGCCGAGGTCCTGGGCTAGGACGCTTGTAACTATAGTGAACAGCACAAGCAGGCCCGAGAAGCTGGCCATCCAGCTGTGGGACATGGTAGACCGCATCGAAGCTTCGATCGGGGGTGGTGGAATGGAGGAATGAGGTGGTCAGAGGGTTAGGGTTGACAGACGCCCCGGTTCCCAGTACCTATTGTGGTCAGAGGTAACCAGTTAATCTGTGTGAGGAGCAATACGCCGTGAGGCTGGTGAACGTTGACTGCAGAAGGCGCCGATGGCATGATACTTATAGCCGGACGAGGCCCCATGGGCGAGATCCTAATAATAAGATGGCCTCCTAACACATCCCCCAACAGGCGATATAACTGACAACATCCTGCCTTACCTCAATACTGAGAAGGATCCCCTGCTAGGGCTTCTCCGAGCCGTGTAAGGTGGTTTCGGGTGGTTCAGACGGATTGAAAGAGTGAAAGCCGCAACAAGCCGCAAGCCTGGTCTACGTTGCCCTGCGAGGAAATTGACATGTTCCTGCAGGCTAGGCGGAGGACTCCCAGACGGCAGCACCGAAATCTCGGGGAAGGATATCGGAGCCACAGACAATGAGTGTATAGTCAACGGTTTGCTAGACCCTGCGTGTCGGGAACCCCGAAGTCAGGGCGCAAGGGAGTACTTATATCCGATTAGGCCAAAGGTAAGCTAATTACGAGGTGACGAGCTTGGACGTCAACTAGCACCAGCATCGCAACGTTCTACCTTCGTTGAAGCCGGAGACCTGGTATGCGCTAAATATAGTGTCGCAGAATCTAAAGGGTCCCACTCAGCAGAGGCAACAGATGGAAGGAACAAAAATCTAATTAATGCGGAGGTGGGTTGTTAGGGGGGCGGGTGCGGAGGGTCGGTAAGTCGGGCGGGCCTAGTGCAATCCAATCTCATCCGTTGCCCTCGGGAACCCCGTGGCTGGAGCCTCGATCGGAGACTTGACACCGCCGTTACCCCAGCAGTCGTCTCCGCGCCGGCCGGAAGGGGCTCGATTCCAGCTTTTTCACAGACACCGAAGTTGAGCCACAATAACCAACCCCACATATCACGATCTCTTTTCCCCAACCAACGCATATCGTGAAACCCAACGCGCCTATATGATGAGTGACGCAAAACGTGTGATTCATGCATTTGGCTAGGAGATATTAGTCGGCTTCACAGCATACCTCAGGCTTTATATTAACACCTTTCAGAGGTCGTGGATGGCTTAGGAGCCGGAACGAAATCAGGAGACAAGAGAGACAGAGGACGGGTAAAAGACGAGAGATGAGAGACAGAGACGAAGGGAGGGTAATCAAAGCTATCACTACGCTGGTCATACTGACCAATAGCCGCTTGTTTTGCTCCTGGTGATCCTTGTTGTTATCCAATAATATATTGCCTTATCCAATTCCTTCCCAAATACCATAAGCAATTGCGAGCTATACAAATGGCGTACAAAAGAAAACAATGCTCTACGTCGGGTTCTATTCCACCATGACCAGCCACATTTTCTCGCGCCACAAGGAAACACATATCTGACTTTCAAACTGAGGCGGCGCACTAGATTCCTCAAGAGTCGGTTCGACAATTCTAACAATGCTTTTAGACGCCCCTTTATGATCACTACCTTTTATGGAGCGAGCGCCCTTTGATTGATTCGCTCTGGGTTTCACCGGGTAGGCTTCGTTTGGCGGCTGCCTTGGCCACCAGCCGGTCTGCTCGGGCCAGCCGGTATGCTCGGGCCACCTCGCTCCAGTGGCTTGAATGTCGATCGATAATTCTTGGAGTCGTCCGCAGAGACGGAGGTATGGAGAGCCATCCGCATGTCCGCCTTCTTCTTCGGGTTGCCGGCCGGCTTCTGCATCTCCTTGCGCGCGTCGTTGAGCTTGAACGCTTTCGGGGGCTGGGGCCGAGGCTCCGTCGGCTTAACATGCTTCGTCACGCTGCCTTTGTACCAGTACACCGACCCATGATTGCTGCGCCCAAGAGGGACTAGAGACTTGACGTTAATAACGAGGCCGCCCTCCTCCTTCGCCTCTCGCACCACACAATCAGCCAGCGTGGTGTCGTGGCGTGAGTCGTAGCCTCCCCGTGGCAGGATGTAGCCGACCTGGTCGAAGTTGCTATTCGCCGGGATCATCCACACGTTGCCGTCCTTGTCATAAGGGACGACGCCGCATCGGACGCGATCTTTGGAGCCCTTGAGGGTCACTGGAGCATTGGTTAATTCATAAACTGCTAGCTCTGATCTGGCGATTGAGGTGTGCGGTTATTACTCACCTGAACCGTCTTTGCCTCCGCTCTTGACCGTATCGGAGGGGAGGCGCTAAGTATCGACGCCCCTCATACCCTGCCACACGTCCTTGTCTCCCGGCAAGAGGTCTTTCCCATTCTGTGCCGTGACGGCGTGGATGGCAAACGCACCCCAAAGTGCAACAGACCATACGTTAGAAACGGAATACTGCATCTTTTCTATTGGCCGGATAGCTGTCTAGGTTTGTTTTTCTTTTTTTCTTTTTTTCCCTGGTTCGTCTCTCTGTGTGTGGGAGAGAAAGAAAGAGAGAAAGAAAACGAGAAGAGGGAGAAGGGGGGGGGGGGTTGGAGTAGAGGGAGTTGAGTTCTACCTGTGTGGATCGGCTTGCTCAAGTCGAAATATTACAACAGGTAACCTCAGAGCAAATAGAGTAGTAACGAGAAAACCGTCCGAGAAAGCTATTATCAGTGCTAGAGCTGGCACCTTATATACTAAAGCCCGTCGCGGCCAACCCCCTCCCGTTCCCGGCTAAGCCTTTTTCGGGGTGCCCGTCTGCGCTCATGAACCCTTAATCATTCGGTATTGCCGTCAACTGTTAATAACACTGCTAGCTATTATGTCTATTACGGAATCACAGTACAAGTGTAAGGATCAGGTGGGAACCTTAGCCATCAGTTCCTGCGTTCTATCCCCTTTCTAAAGTAAACCTGCACTAGGTGTAACATGAACGGTCACCCAGAGTTCTGATCACTCTGACCGGACGGGTGGAACGGCCTTGGTCGAAGGCCAGAACCGGAAGATGGAACTTTGGTAGTCTGGCAAGAAACCGGGCGAGGACTCTCCTGATGAGGAGTCAGGCAAAGATTCTGATAAGATCCAGACGGCGGGGAATGGACACTAGAGGCCCCTCACGTTACATTCAAGGTTGAGAGGTATTTTACTGAGGTCTAATAGTCTGCGGAACAATTAGTGTTAGTGACAGCTTTTATAAGTCAGTTCCCACCCGAATAGTGCGAGAGTGCATGACCAATAGACAGAGACGCCCTGCGGTGTTGTTTTTTGTGTCTGCAAACTTGTTCTTCCATTTTGACCGAAGAGTCAGCGTGAGTATATATTGGTCCTAGGACCCCGAAAATTGGCGGTGCACATAGAAACCACATCTTCGTCGTCAATTACGTGTTCCTATTCTCGCAAATAGTATAAAGACAGGACAGTAACCCGTACTCTCCCGTCACCTGCTGGATAACGCCAGTACATGAGGATGCGGAGTAGTAGCAAACTGGTTGTGATCGACAGTCCCCTTTAAGCGAGTCACGTAAGTCGATCGCCGTATGTTTGGAATAGTTCAATGGGTTAGCATCCTTCAGCAGTTATATAGTACAACTACAAGCTCCCGTGTCAAGTAGACCCTAAAACGCTAAGAGGAGAGAGGGAAAAGGAAAATAAAAAGAAAGTGCTATTAGTCTGATAGATGCCGTCGCCTGCCCCCCCCCCCCCCCCCCCCCCCCGAGTAGTCGCTCAGCAACGCCCACGAACTTCATTAGGGGGCGCTTTGCAATACAGCCCTTTCCCGTCGGCGCACTTGAAGCCGGTATCAGCAGCCTCACGGCAGGCAGCCTCCCACTCTTTCCCTGCGATCTGGTCGCTGTCGGTAGACTTCACGCACTGTTTGAGTCGTTAGGGCTGTCATCCGATCAGGTCGCCAGAGATAATCATACCTGTCCAGAGGAGGCGTCGAAGTCGCCCTTTCCCCACCGGTGCTGCTTTGAGGCGTACAGCTCGCATGCCTTCGCGGTGATACGCAGGTTGGGATCGCCGCTGTTGTGACACGCGCAGCTATCGTGAAGGTTGGCAGAACTTTGGGGACGTTAGGCGAGACAGCCCGGGTGCAATAGCTAGAGATGCCTGGGACTTACGCGACAGAAAGGAGGGCTAGGCCGGCGGCGGCCTGCAAGAAACACAGCTGCATCGTCACACAGAAAATTTCGATGCTCCGCTACTACCGTTGCACCGTGGGAAACAACAAGTGGAACCTGGGCGCTTGTGTAGGACGATAAAAACGCTATGCCCGGCTGATAGGCTACATAAAGCAGCAGTGAAGAAGTGGAGAGGCACCTTAATAATAAGTTTGAGTAGAATTAGGGCAAGCGGAAGCCTCGATCATGATGGTATGAGGCGGCCCGTCTGGTTTTATATTCACAGCCCGGTGGTAGGGGATAGCCCTCCTGGTAGCTAGCACAGCGGCGTGTTAAATCACCAAGCGACATGCATCCAGCTCCATGTGGCTCATGGTGCTTGCCCACCGCGCCCACTAGACGTACCAGTTATGGGCTGCTAGGAGCACGTTCGCTTCTTTACCTGGTAGCTGGAGTTGCCGCCGGACAGAGCGAAGCTCATTTCCGTCTTCTCGTGTCCGTCTTCCGTCTCGCAGACTCCGCCTTCCCAGCCGTCATTAGATGCAGATGGCTGTTGCGGAGCCACGTGGAACGATAGACAGCCCTCTTTTTTTTTTTTTTTTTTTTTTTCTTTTTCTCTTTCTTTCTTCACATGCGAAGCGCATATACCCATCTGATTGCAAGCCTATCTATTATCGTCTTACCCATCGTCTAGGTGAAAGATACGACGACGAGAGGCTATAGCGTCAAAGGTCATAGGCAGCGTGGCCCCGAGGCCCACAGCTGGTGAACAGCATTCGTTAGGACAGGGTGTTTTACAATAGTGTTCGGATGGAATGCCCCTGTCACCGAGCAGAACTTCTGCATATTCCTTTGCAGAAACCCCGGCCCATTTTACTACACTAAGTAGAATCTCAATTAGGATTCTTGCAGCCACTGGGCATGTCCTTCGCAACGACTCGGCAGCCCCGAAAGCAATCCAGATTACGTCCAGCAGCCCGCGATGGCAGTCATGCGCGTTATGCCTGTCGTTTCCCACTGTCCGCGCGTCAGGCTTCGTCTATCCGAAGAAAAGGGAAAGCAAGATCATCTTGAAACTTCCCTGTCGAAAGGCTCCCTTTGCTGGAAAGTGGTTGTTCGCCGGGAACAAGGATACTCGTCGTCGCCGGGCCGTACGAATCCTAGCGAGGGCCCTGTCTGGCTCGCAAGCTTCGTTATGTCGCCCCGCCGCTGCTGCTAGTCTGGACCTGGGTGCCGTATATGCCTCAGCATGAGATCGTCTACGCAGTACCTTACTGCAGCAGACAGTCGATACTATTGCTAAACAGGTTTTATCACACTAGACGTCAATGGATTAAGCAATACCAGAAGCACAACGTCTAAAAGTATATGAATAGCCGCAGTCGTCCAGTCCTTCTCCGGGAACACCTCGCCTCCTCACTACTCTACGCCCTACGCTGTACGCTCGTTTCTCTTACCCAGCCCGCGACCAGCTGACATCTTCTCGCCCCCATCACTCCCAATCGTCCGTCCACCTATTAACAGACTGGTCGTTTATTATCCACATATCATCCAAGATGAGACGGTCGTTCCTCATCACTACATTCAACCTACTTAATGCTGCTGTAGCTATTGATGTCTCCCAGTCAGCCCCTTACCCTCTGAGTTTCGACGACGTCGTCGCCGTGAATGAGGATGGTTCCCACAGAATTCTCAAGACAGCAGAGTACGACGCTCTACTAGCGCGTGCTGCGCCCGAAACCGTCCAGGTGAACGTGCGGTCTACTGACGGGGGCGGCCTCACCCGTCGTGACTGTAGAGGGAGCACGGAGGTCCAGGTCGAGTCTGACGAGGAGTTCCTTAACTGGGATGTCGCCATCTCGCCCATATTGAGTTCCCATGGAGGCACTGCTACCGTCTCCGTGGCTAAAGGCTACTCCGTCGGGAATTCAGTCATTGTTGGCCCAACCGCTAACGTTGCCTTCGCAAAAGTGGCCCTAAGCATGTCTCTATCGGTTAATTACGCCCAGCGGTGGACGACTTCCGATAGCCAGACTCTTAGCTTCACCGTCCCGGAAGGCCAGCATGGCCTCGTCGTGTCACAGCCGCTCGTCCGCCGTGTCACCGGGCGTCTGCTCACCGGCTGCAGCCATCGCCCAACCAGTACGCCGTTCACTTCCGACACCTATACTGACCAAAGCTTTGGCAATCTCGATTTCGTCAAAGGCGTCATACGACTTTGCAACAGCACCGTTTACCCTGTCCCTTACTGTAACGGTCAGGGCTTCCACTACTAGGACAGCGGGGACAGAGTGGGCCTGCAGTTGACTTACGGGAGATCTCGGCGGCATCGTGGATGGGAGAGGAGCACACAGTTGACTGGGCATGCTTAGGTGGGCGGAACGGCTGTTGCCCAGACGGTCTCATCTAAGCGCAAGGTGGTTTGAAGACCCTATTGCTACCGGCTTCCGAAAATGGTCTTTAGTGTGGTAAGGGCAATGTATATGCCTTGACGCATGGATTGGGGCAGTGGTCCGGTGGTTAGCAGGCGTGGATGGTGAGCGCAGGCGTGCTATAATCGAGTATTTCAGCCGGCAGAAGAGGGATGTCCAACAATACCTCGATCATTCGAAGGGTTTCAGAGGCTAATGACGTAAATATAATCTTCAGGAGGTTAGAATTCGCAGGGGGGTGTGATCAAAGACCGGGATTGATAACAAAGAGGAGTGGGAGGGGGGGGGGGGGGGGGGGGGGGAGAAATAGAAGAAGTGGAAAAAGAAGTAGAAAAGGAGTTAGAGAAAGGAAAAGAATAAGAGTAATGAGAAAGCTGGATGATTCTTGTCACGGGCACCATGCTGCTGTAGGTTGACGTTGGCCTGTGACCGATGCTTCAGCCCTAGAGAGGGTGTGTATCGATGTCGTGGACGGAAAGGAAAGAGCGTGGAGTGTCCATGGCGCATCACGGAGCTGGAGCGTGAGGGGCAAAGCCACGAAAGATGGGGTCGGCGCAGAAGGGGCTGAAAATGCCGGCGTCGCCGCTGTAATGCGAGATAGGTAACACCTACTACTAACGAAGTTGTACCATACCCGTTATAACGCGTCCGCTGGTTTACAGGCCCCATCATCATCAGCATAAGAGTCAATCTTCAATTACATAGGCTAACTAATAACCTTCCGCGCGGTTTATCTTATTAATCGACCAATCACCTCTCCGTATCACCAAGTAGTTTAGACACTATCTATTCCGTAGGTCTAATACCGTAGATAACACGAGCTGGATAGTCGTCATACGTGACGAGGCGCGTTTGCGAAAGCGTCCAGGATCTGGGTCATCCAGCTATATGAATGCATGAACCCCAACTGCAGGCTCACGATGTTCTGAGTGACTAGCGAACAGTATTCTCCTTTGATCTATGCTCCAGGCCTTCATGGAGGCAGTATGTGACCGCGTTAGCGAAGCCGATGAACTGGCTCGAGCTCTGCAGAGCCGCTAGTAGCAAACCATGCGATTCGACCCCAGACGCTTCCATCACTCTGTTCACAAGGGCGGGGATCCAGAGCAGGATGTACAAGATGGGGTACGAGTTGAGAAGCATCATGCGCTTGATGCGCCGCTCCAATCTCCGGGTCTGCTCGTCGATCGAATGATGAGCTGTCGCCGCAGCGGTGAGATTCGGCAGCATTACTTTATCACTCGCGCCGACGTCTCGGCTAGAGCTCGGTCGGGAGTCCGCCAGGTAATCATCTCCCCATGGTTGAGGATGACACCGCGATAGCATGCTTCTGGTACTGCTGTCTGATGTCAAACACCTCGTAACAGGAAACGCTGTGGCGTCCGTCGCTAGTGGGGGAAGGTCGTATCCCAGCGGCTGTGCCGTCCGTGGAGGGTGTCGTCCACCCATAGACGCGACTTGCGGCCGTGGCCAATCCACGTCCAATCGACTCACCGTCGTGTGGCGTGCTGTCAACGGAGCAGCAGTGCTCGTCGAGCTTCCGGTCCAGCCCAAGGAAGCCGGCGCCGTTGCAGCGGGGCGAAGGCGCTGGCCCAGGTACCACCAGACGTAAGCGTAGATGGAAACGGTGGCGAACATGATCCACAGACGCCAAACGTAGGTGAGGGCAAATCGAAGATCGGGTCTGTCCCACGTTATCCAGCACCAGTTCCCGCTGACGGGCCCCACGACGCCGATGCCAGCCGCCGCGACGCTGGTAGCAATAGGGACGATCCACACGCAGAAGCAGATGGAGACCCTCTCGAGGAACGTCCCCTCCGCCATGGACGTTTTTTGTTTTACTACCAGAAGTGTGGCAATGGCGATGGCGAGGATGGAAAAATCGGACGCTTGCACTGACAGTTGACCAATCACGCTGTTCAGGACACAGGCTGTTCCACGTTGTAACCCTTTGTCCCTGATGTATATAATCCCCGAGACGGTGTTGTTGGCTGAGTTAATGAATTCTTTTTTCATTCGGAAGCCGTTAGCCCTCTCGTCCTCTCGGAACAATCTTGACGGGAACCACTTTACCAGCCACCATGAGGTTGAGAATGAGGATGTGGCGGAAAGACCGGCGCCGGGTGCGGTGGAGACCGATGGAGATCAATGCGCCAAACGTCGTTAGGAACGAAAGACTACTCCCCATCAACGTCAAAGACGCAACTAGTACGTTGAAAGCCATTGTCGACGTATGGCGCCACGATGCTGTAGCTCTTTCCTACACAGCTACCTCACGCAGAAGACTTCACTTTGCTCTGTGTAAGGTCGAATATATGACCAGCGAGAGACCATCTCTGCCGTACTGGCCCAGTTACACGATGACCGGGAACCGTCGCGGATTGGGTTCCATCTAACATTCAATTGCGGGGCTATAACTAACCGGTAGTGCCATTCGAACCTTAGCAAGGGCACGTATCCACTACGCAGTAAACCCGGTAAATGAAGATAATTGAGGAAAAAAAAAAAAAAAAAACAAAAAAAAAAAAAAAAAAAAAAGGGAAGAGAGAGGGAAACCAGAGGGGAAGAAAGAGAGAAACAGAGCAAAAGGAAAAGGGAAAGGTTGGGGGCCTTCACAGCGCGGCGCGATCGAAGTTCGGGTGAATTCAACGCCAGTTGGGCGATGGGATGGCATTATCTGGGCACTTAAATTTACATTATAACCCTAGTCGTGATCTGAACCAAGTGGGGCCGAGGTAGCCGCAGATGAGGCAATCAGCCCTCGGGAAGAGACACTAGAAAGACAAGGGGTCAGGGTTGGGTTGGGTCGGGGTTGTTAGTATTATTGTTGAAGTCTACTTTGCCGGCCAAGCTATGCTTTGTTCCCTGTCTCCTTCGGTTCTGGCCCCCGCGGCGGGAGGTTGTTCGTTAGAAGTCTTCTGTCCGCAAACAGCCGGCTTCGGACAGCCCGTAGGCAAGCTGGATAACTGCGCATTTTAGCTACCGGGTCAGCAGCTACTGATTAGGGACTCGCGATTATCTGTACACTGTCGCCTGCCATAAGAAAGTTATTACGTCTCCTGTCCTTGGTTGATCTGTAGCATAGTTACTCGGTACCAGCCGGATCGATGGCCAGTTACCGCATCTATTATCCATCGTCTGACGACAATAGACACCACCCAACGGCTGGGAGGCTGAGGTTAGCGTATATATAAATATGCTCGGCGATTCACTAGGATCCGACCTGCCCGTCGTCGCCCTCGGTCGACCCGGTCGGCCGTCATTTGTCAACTAAGACCGTGTTCTTGGCGCAAGCCTAGCCGTGCTGCGTCGTCTTGGTTTCGGATGCCTCACCCGGATACCTATTGATACGTACCCTATCATAGTAAACAGATTCCTTCCACACGTCCCGCAACCGATCCCAAGATGCACATGCTCAGACGCGTACGGGCCAACGCTGGGGGATTTTCTGCTTGTCCAATCTTCAAACAAAACCCCCCACTCGTACCTCAAGCTCGCAGAGAGCTGATATTAGGTTAATATGACACTGATATTGGCATTATCCGCGCCTTGCCGCGGTCGCGTCGCCGATTCCGTGAGCCATTGGGGCGACGGCTTCGAGAAGAAAACCGAGCAAGCTCGACATCTGGGCAGAAATGTAGCGCGACCAACGATTTAGTAGGAATGTATGGAGCAGGCTTGGAGACGTATGTCAGTGGAGAGATATCGTCTCCACTAATGGACACCGTTTCCCATTCGCGACTTATCCCCTTCCTCCACTCTGCTGCCAATTAGTAACTTCCCTGGATTGCAGCAATGTTCGTTTGTTATCCTTCGTCATCGTGGTTCACAAGCTCTTCGCCTTCTTCCGGGTCGTGTCGCTTGCGAGCCAGCTACGCGTCTGCTGTGCCTCTAGGCCCTCGTTAACTGTCCCCGCGAGCGAACCACCTCCACCCCAAAGAGGTAGAGGGCCCGTTCTAGTGGAAGGGGAGCTGGGGTCGGGAGACTAATAGTGCAGTCAACCTGCCTCAACTATACTGTTTCTACTTGACATATCCCCGAACGCCAACCATCCTAGTTGGGAATAGCATTAGCCGCTGTTTAGAGGGCAACGAGATCTATGAAGGAACGCCATCATTGTCTACTGTACTTCATTGACTACCTAGTAAATTGCTACTAAACAGAGCATGAGGTCCATCCATCCCATGGCCGTCCACCACACACCACACTTATTACGGCGTGCCGAATCTTGCTCAGACTGTCTTGATACTAACGGGTTTCAGCCTTGGGGCGCTAGGTCCGGGCAATCAAACCCGCGCACATCCTCTCGACGAGCTCGAAGGTGTTGTCGAGGGCATTCGTATCGGCCAGGTTCTTCCGGAACGGCCTGATGCCGTCCGTGTAGTGCTTCCTGTTGGTCCTGATCTTGGAGAAGGCGTCCCGGATCTCCTTGACGGACACGTAGTCCGTCTTGGAGAGCGCGGCGTAGGGGATCTGCGGCAGGCCGATGCCGACGCCCATCCTCTCGAGCCGACGTGCGAAGTACGTCTGGTCGGCGGCGTAGTCCGTCGGCAGGATGATTTGGGGGACGCCCGCGGCGATGGCGTCCGTCATGGAGCCGACGCCGCCGTGGGTCAGTACCAGGGACATCTCCGGGAACAGCGTGGCCCACGACGTCTCGCCCACGAAGAGATGGAAGACGCGTCCGTTGTGGGTGACGCGCCGGAAGCTGGACTCGGACCGTTTGACGTTGTGCAGGATGATGAAGCTCCAGTCGGTGAGGGCGGCCAGCTCCTGCTTGGCGACCTCGAAGAATGCCGGGAAGGCGTGATCCTTGTCGAAGGGGCGTTCCTTCATACCCATGCCCATGTAGAAGATGGGCCGCTTTCCCTGCTTGTCGATCCACGAGTACACCTCTCCCTGGCGGCCCGGTCTGGCCGTGCTGGAGCGAGCCGACAGCCGGGGTAGCTTGCCGACCATGGCCGCCCCGACGGCGTTGGGGGACGAGCTGTCCCAGATCTCGGGCTGCTGTGCGTAGATCCGGATATGGTTGGGCTTGATGTCCTTCTTTGTGAGGGCGGTGGAGCGGATGCCGGGAAGGTAAAAGACCTGGAGCTCGACGAGGATCCGGTCCCGGGCGGGCGCCGTCAGCTGCTGGATCTGGCGGCGCTGGTCCGGCGTTGTAGCAGAGGGGGGGATGAAGTGGCTCGCGACGATGAGGTCGGGCGACCAACCGTGGAGGATGGACGCCATTTTCTGCATAAACATGGCGACCGCCTGGTCGCGCCGGGGCGGGTTCGTCTTCGAGGCCCACTCGCGGTTGTCGTTGGCGAACTTGGCCTTGAGACCTTCGGGGAAGAAGTCCCGGTAGCTGTCGCCGAGGACAATAGCGTGCTTGACGTCGAAGATGGCCGGTCTATCGAGCATGCCCTGGAGCACCGACGAGAGCAGGGGGACGTCGCCGTTGCTCCCGCCATAGATGATGAAGAAGACCTCGATCTTCCCCTTGTTCCTGCCGCGAGCCTGGAGGCCCCTCTGCAGCTGAGTCTCAACGGCCTTCAAAGCCTGGGACGGGCCGGGGATCTTGCTGCCCGGGGCGCCGGCCAGGATCTCAATGACCTCTCTGACCTGAGAGTCCGCGGCGGTAGACGGGCGCTGGATACCCCGGGGGACCAACGCCTCAGCCGCGACACTGCTGTTCCAAGCATCCGTTTCCAAGCCCTCTGGTTCAACAGGTGCACCTCTTGGGACGGGACTGGCGGCGGCGACGGCGGCAAGAGAGCTGCCAGCGAAGAGGGCGAATATCAATAAGACACAAAGCGTGCGCAGCGGTCTGTACAGCCTCGCGGCATCCCCCTCGAGAGACATGATGTAAGGACGTAGGTGTTATCGCCTCGGTGATTGAAGACGATGGTGAGTAGAGTAAATGCGAGAGGGATAGAGAGAGAGAGAGAGAGAGACGGAGGTGAAGCTCTCACATGACGGCTGGTCACAAAGTTATCATGAAAACATGCGTCCAATCAATGACATTCCTAGATATTTCATTTCGGCGTCTCCTTAGCTAGGAGGAGCCCAGCTGTGGAACGAGGAGGAGATACTAACGCTGGGCCAGACGGTCAACCCGCTGTCCAGAACATCTTGACACCGCAGGACTTTTCGTATGGTGCTGTATGCAGTCGAACGAACATGTGCGTCCAAGTTGGATGCTGTTGACACGGGACCCCCGCGTCTTGGCTCTCATTGGGGGGTGAGGGGGTCGTGGCCGCCTTCAGCCGAGCTGGCGGCTGGCCCGTTGCGAGGAAGAGCCCTCTTCGATTGCTTGCCGGGGCTGCGCTTGGGACGAGGAAAGCATCGCAACATGCCCATCGAACCATTCTCGTCGAAGAGAATGAGGGACACCAGCGTGTGCGGTGGCTCTCGGTCGGATATTGCCGTCCGGGCAGCCGTACGGACGAAGTGGGCTCTCAGTTTTCGGAGACGCCGCCGTCAGCCTTTTGCTGAGATCCCCGACCGGACCCAGTCTCCAGGCCTGGTTATTGCTGTTACCAAAGTGCCGGAATCGCCAGAAAACCAATTCGCTCGATAGCGGGGAAGACTAGTAAACTCCTCGTCCTCCGCGGAACACGGTGCGTCGCAAGCGTTATCCTCTCACTACTTAACCCCTCCGGTCTGCGCAACGTCCTCGATCCGACTTGAAGAGGTCCCCGACACGTTGTGCTGCAGATCCCTACATTGAAGGCGTCCCTTCCCCGCGAAATCCAGCTTCACGCTCCTTTAGTCGTTTTCAGGCTTCGCCTTCCCCATCAATCTTTTTTCTATCGTTTCCCTCGCTCGTTTCGTCATGCACTGGTCTCTTGCCACTCTAGGCTGCCTTCTGGCGGCCTCGGCCTCGGCCGTACCGCTCGCAACGCAGCATGTTCCGGGCCTCGCCGCTCCCGTCCTGCCGTCATCAGCAGGAGATCTCGGGGCCGAAGACGACGCCGGAGCGCACGTGCATCTCACCACGGCCGGCTCGCTCGTCGGCAGAGACATCAAGAAGGGCTGGTTCAGTGCCCAGGAGGCAGCGATGCTCCAGAAGGAGTCGGAATCCGACGTCAACTTCTTCCACCTCATGGACAGCCTCGACACCCTCAGCCAGCTTCTAGACCGGAACAAGATCCCCTGGGCCGTCGCCGGCGGCCTTGCCTTGAAGATCCACGGCCAGCCCAGCCGTTATACCGGCGACATCGACATCGTCGTCCAGACAACGATGTCAAAGCTCAAGACAGCGCTGAGCAAGGACAAGAAGTTCATTCTCCCCGGCCCCGGATGGCCAAGCGATTCCCACCTGCGGGTCTACCACAACCAAGGGAGCTCGTCGAAGCCGAAGTATATCGAGGTTGATATGATCATTGCAGGTTAGCTTTACCTTACTCCTTGCCTTGCCTTGCCCTACCCCCACCCGGGGGGTGGGGAGCTCGCTCGTTCGTGGAGCGATATTGACGTACATCATAGGCACGCTCACGACACCCGAAAATCTCAGAGCCAACTCAAAGGATATCCAAAAGGAGACGAGGGCCAAGAAGGCGCTTAACATCCACGTAATGAGACTTGGAAAGATCTTCAAGTCCAAGGTCTACGCTTTAGCCGCAGACCATCGCAACAAGAACGACAAGGACATGAAGGATATCAGCTGGATCATTGAAAAGACCCCTGGGGCCCTCGTTAACGTCCAGCAGGACCTGACATACGATCTGCGGCAGCTGGTGATTATGCATCTCGTCCGCCTGAGGTCGCCCCTGGTCGCTAAGGCCAGAGAGCTCCTCGGAGTCGATAACGGCGCGCGTCTCCACGCGGTGCCACCCCCGCAGATCGTCGGTGTCCCGCCGAACCAGGAGCCGGGCTTCGTCAGCTGGCTGTTTGACGGCACCCCTGGCCACACCGTGTGGGGCTAGACGTAGTAAGGTAGGGCTGACGGTCATCGGGCGGATGGCGGGCGGTTCGGATGGCGAGCGAAAGTGAGCCAATCGGGGAGTGTACCGCGGATAGCTTGTATCTGGTTTCCTGTTGTTTTAGCTGGAACTGGCGTACAAGCATGGACGAGGTCGCAGTCCACGGTTTGAATGTGCGCGGGACGGCCCGAGCGGTCTCGGTGGGGGCCGCAATGTAACGCACCTTTTGCAGTATACTAGGTACACAGCTTGCCCTGCGCCGAGAAGGCGTCAATGAATTAGTTAAATTTTTTTTTTAATTTCCTTTTTTTTTTTTTTTATTTTTTTTTTTTTTTTTTTTTTTTTTTTTTTTTTTATAATACATATATATTCAAAGGCTTCTATTACTTCTGGACTTCCGAATGGGCCACGACCGTGGGAATATACGACCCACCTTCCTTTGTTGTGTTTTCATGTTGTTTGCCCCTTGGATTCTCGTCCGACCAACGCAAGCTGCGGCTGTATTGCACTTGTTAGTCCTCCTCGCTGATCTCGAGGCTTTGTAGTACCTAGATGCGTATATCGCCCAGCAGTATGTTTACAGTCTACTAACAGACAGACTTATTACACAAAGGGGCCTGCGCAAGTCATCCCAAGGCGGAGCCTGGTGGGTCGTGACGACCTCTGTTATTTGCAGCCGCCGGCCCCCTCGGACGCGGTCGTGGAGGAGGCCGGGACAACGCGGTCAGAATCACCCGCACCCATCGGCCAAGAGACGGACAAAGCCGTCGTCGGGAGGTCCGATGCTTCATCAAAACATGCTCTAGCGTCTACTTTTAGATGTACGACCCGTCGACTACCTTGCCTAGCTATAAACTGGCGACTTTTCCGCGTATACCACAGGCTAGGCCTACGTGGACTACACGCGCCTCTACAGTGCTGGACAAAGGCCATACTGCTGTTTGAGTGAAGAGGAGGCCCTGTGGATTGGATGGACGACAGACACGCCGCACTCTCTATCACTTCTCTTGCAGCCCTCGGGTTGTCCGACGGCGAGACCAACATAGTTCCTAGCGGCCAGAGGGCCCCACTTGCGGCCCACTGGACGGGATGTCGTTAGATCTGCTAACCACTGGCCTCCCCGGCTAAATGCAGATTGGTGCTACGTATACCAGGTCTTCGTCAACAAGTCACAGCCAGGCACGCCCTGCCCTGCCCAGCCTCCGCAGACCCAGAAGACTAATTAAGCTATGGTGGAGGGCGGTAGGGATAATATACGTATCGGCAGTGACGACTACTATTTCGAGAACCTGCGAGACCGGCTAGAAGACAGTTAACCGCATCCCGCGCACGAAAGAAAGGCTCTCTAAACATATTACCGCCTGGCATTGGGGTTCTCCGTTGTCCCGTCGAGTGACTTCTTCCGGCTCGTCAGATGGGCCTGACCAAACGTCCGGTGAGGCCGTCAGTCGGTTGCTTGCTACGAGGTAGCCTTGTCGGGCGACGGCTCACGCGAAGGAGGGAAGCCCAGTCGTCATGACCCATGCGTTCGCTGATGCCGTTCTTCGTCAATTCCGATGTCACCGGGCCGGCTTGGTCGGACGGGCCAACATGCCTTTCCCCCGCCGCGGATATCCCACGAAGCAGGCTTATCAAAGGGAGAGGAGGTGGAGGTAGTCTAGGTCACTGTGGCATATTCCATGGTCCAGAGGCTGATGGGAAGCAGTATATATCTACTGTTGAAAGCCAGATCTTTTCCTGGCCAAACGGCAACCAGCTACCACAACAGCCATCTTTCTCTCTCGTCCTTCCTCTGCCTGACCTTCAACGTCTGCCACTCGCTACCCACACTCGCCCACGTTCCTTTTAGTTTTCTTTGCCAACATGGTCGGACCGCGCCCACTCCTCGTGCTTCTATCTGGCGCCTCTCTATGGGTGTTGTCCAGCCATGGGGCGCCTGCGAACGGGATGCACGTCACCCGAGGCGGGGACATGCCACCAGCGGAGGTCCAGGTTGCTGGCGGACCTCTTTCCGGGCATCACACCGCACTTGGGTCTAAGGGCCAAGACGCCAGTGTCCGATATCAGGTAGACAGTGTCTCTCCGAGCTCTGAAGCCGCGGCTGAAGACGGGCTTTGGGAAGGCGACGGACTCTCGAGGAGAGCCACGGGCAGGAAGTCCGGATCCTTCTTCAGCCGTTTCAAGGTATGTTAAACCCTACTTATGGACCGACTCCAGCTGACCGCCGCCAAGCGCCCCTTTGGTAGGCGGCCCTCCACCAGGCGGCCCTCCACCAGGCGGCCCTCTAGCGGACGGCCCTTTTCCGGACGGCCTTTTACAAGACGCCCCGCGTCATCCCAAACGGCCGCCGGGGACTCTCGTTCCGGGGGTCTTCCTGCGGAGCAGCCGATGGCTGACGAGACCGCCCTTGATGAGACCGCGGCCGACGAGACCGCCGTCGACGGGACCGCCGCCGACGGAAATGCCGCCGACGGGACTGCTGCCGACGGCTTCACGGGCGAAGAGGGTTCAGGCGTTGAGGGGTCTGCTGGTGAGACGACTGCAGACGGGTCTTCCGTAGACGAGGCCCAAGTCCAGAAGCGATCCGCCGCCAAAGGCTCTACAAAGAAGGTGTCCGCCAGCGCGACCACTGTCGATGAGACCTCTACCGGCGCGACAACTGCTGATGAGACCTCGACCGGCGCGACCACCACCGACGAGACCTCTACCGGCGCGACTACCGCTGATGAGACCTCTACCGGCGCGACCACCACCGACGAGACCTCTACCGGCGCGACAACTGCTGATGAGACCTCGACCGGCGCGACCACCACCGACGAGACCTCTACCGGCGCGACTACCGCTGATGAGACCTCTACCGGCGCGACCACCACCGACGAGACCTCTACCGGCGCGACTACCGCTGATGAGACCTCTACCGGCGCGACCACCACCGACGAGACCTCTACCGGCGCGACCACTGCTGATGAGACCTCTACCGGCGCGACCACTGCTGATGAGACCACCGCTGACGAGACCTCTACCAGTGGGGCATCTTCCAGAAAGACCTCCGCGAGCAAAACCGCTTCTAAGAAGACCACCTCAAAGAAGACTGCTGCCAAGGAGGCCGCTGCTGACGATACTGCCGCGGGGTCCGTATAGGGCCAACTTAGCAAAGCACCGAACCGGAGCGCAGCTCTCGTTACTTGAGCAGCTTGGCTCCCACATGTCGGGTCATCGCGATCGGCTTGTAGATACCGGCTGAGTAGCTTCCGCGAGGGGCCATTGTTAGACGCATTCACAAAAAGCAACGCCGTGGAACGTGCGGCATCTCGTACTTATGCTCTGTAATTGAAGATTAAGTTATAGTTCTTACTCGAAGAATAAACCAATGTTGATACATCAGATGCAGTTGTCCTGGCTATGTAAGCTTCTGCTCTCGTGATCCCTCACAATACAATTGGATAGTTTCCGAGCAAGGCAATGCCCTCCGGAATCCGGTTAACATGGCTAATTGTAGCAGCCGTGTTTGCTCCCCGCCCGGTCCCTCCTGCGCCTGGTCATTATGGTCCACTCGACAGCCAGCACCGGCTGCGCGTGCCCCATGACCCGCAGAGCAGGCAATCTTTAGACATACAGAAGCCTTGAGCTTCCCCGTCATCAGGATCAGCCGTCGATACTGTATGCTTCGTCAGGAGACCGGTAGGCGACGGGTGAGAACCTGTTGTATATGTCACGACGGGGTCATTGGTGCGAAGTCGTTCGTATACGTGCTGTTTTCAAGGAGATTCTACACCACCCAAACCGAGGTTGGTCCCATAGTAGATAGGCAACGAAGGACCTCTGCGCCCACGCTACGCTTACCTTACCTACCTTAGGAAAGTAACCCTCTTCCTTCAACTCCTTAGATGGTCTGATATCTATAGGCTCAAGCCTGTCATCGCCTACAGAGTTTGCTTAGGCGGTTTTCAAGATGATTACACTTAGTTAGTTTACAGACGACAACAGTCCATCTAGTAACCTCGCGAACCGAGCGTTAAAGGATATGTGCTCGGCTGGTTCGTCCCTCCCTCTCTCCCCCGACCACGCCAACTAGAAGGCACTCCTATCCACTCCCCAGGCCGGTAGAGCGCGCCGGCGCGATTCCGGCTCGGGGGTATAGAAAGGAGTGCCCCGTCTCTCCCTATCGATAGGCAGTCGGCGAGGAACGGTGAATCGACGTCTTTCACCTCCATATCGCTAGCTAGAGACCCGCGGGCGGATGAGACGGTCAACAGTGGACCACGCGAGTAAGTGGTCACGTGCGCGAAGTCCAGAGGCTTTGGGTCACGATTCTGCTCATACGATGGGAATAACGGATGATCCCAACGCCGCTGGTACGTTGTGAATAGGCAGGCTCAACGTAACTCTCCAAGACCCCTCAGGCTCTCACTGGTTAGTTGCATTGTGGTTGTTTGACCTTGCATCTAACAGGAGTTAGGTGGTCTTGTTAGACAAACGATGTTGATTTAATGCAATTCCACTGAGGTCCATTGATCAAAAGGTGATTGTTCTGCTTGATTGAGGGATTTCCTCCTATACCGGTCCGAGCGGGGTTCTGTCTTGTATTTACCCATCATCACCGGTTCTTGCATATTATTCAATGCATTTCTAGCATCCCTTTATCCAGACACAGTCGTCAATCCAACAGGTCTTGGTTGTGCTCAACCCCACCAGGTGCCCGTTCTTCCCGCCGGCGTCACAGCCGCGACCGATTCGCCGGCCTGACCCGGCGAAGCACACCGGACCCTGATCCGTTCGGAGATGGCCGTTGTTTCAAGGATCCCACCAGCTCCCTTACTACCTGCTTTGTTTGCGTCGCAACCACGACAAGCTGTACATACCTACTCTGATCTCTGCGATTCTTCATCCCTGCGCGGCACGAGCGGAGGTCAGGTCCAAATCGTGAGAGGCCAACCCTGGCCCTACAGGCCTTTCCTTCCATGGTGGACACTGCTTGCATATCTGCACTATCGCTCCGATCCCGGGCGCCTGGGCGCCTGGGCACCTGGACGGACTTGGTGGAGACACACCCGCCCCGCCATGTGTTTCGCTGCCCATCGCGCCGTGATCATAAGGTAGGGACGGGCTGGGCATAACGTCGTTTAGTTGAGTTTGGCGCTGGTTTGATTGCCGCTGTCCGCGAGCAGAGACCGGTCATTAGGGTCAGTCAATGCGAGGCTTTTGTTCCTCGCAGCTTCTCCTTACTTAACCATGCCCCCATCTCTCTGCCGACAGTAAACCTTTTAACCGCTGCCACTCAAACGCGACGTGACTGAGCAACGTCTGCCCACCCGACGAGGTCCAGCGCGCCATCCCTACCCATTCATCCCTAGGCCAGGATCACAAGTAGACAGACAGCACGCTGCAGGTAGAGACCACTTTTCCAACGTCATCTCGTCGTCGTCTCTCCCGTTCCGGACGGTTCATGCCGAGTCTGTCTCTTGCCGCTGAGTCTTCTGCCCCCAGAAGCTTGTCCGCCAGCGCCGTACTCGGCAATCTCACCCTAACGGGCCGTAAGGTACACCGTACATACGCGTCCCGACGCCACCATCTCCGCATGTCACGCCGCCAGATCCCTCCGACGCTGCGAACCACCCGCTCTCCCTGCACGCCTGACTCTCTGCTGGCACCGACGGGCCGCCGTTTTAGGTCGCAGATCGCCTGCATGGACTCCTCCAGCAACAACATCCCACTGGACGCACAGCCGTCATCACCGCCGGGCGCGGCTAGCAACAGCAGACCCCTAGCATCCGCTCCGGATTCGGTTGCTTTAGCACCGTCTGATGTGTTGGTCGCCAGTCCGATCACGCAACAGGACCAGCCGGCATCCCACCTTATCCTAGCCTCGGCTCCGGCCGACCGGGACGACGCCGCGGCAGCCGGCCTCTACCAGTGCCCGCACTGCCAACGACAGTACTCTCGCCCTGCGTATCTCGCTCGACACATCCGCACCTACACTTTCGGCAAGCGATGTGCATGCCCTGTATGTTCCAAGGCGTTTGCCAGAACCGATCTGCTAAAGCGCCACGTTGCTAGGCACGCACGCGGCGGCCAAGACCATGGCAGCAAGCGAAACCACCGCCCGGGACCTTCACCCAGCACTCGTCGTGTGTCTTACGCTTGCCGGCAATGCGCTGCTGCCCGTGTTAAGTGCGACGAGGTCAAACCGTGCTCGCGCTGTTGCAGCCGCAACATCGACTGCGAACCCTCCTCAGGCCGCCTATCTTCCACGGCAGCTATGCACCTGACCCCGCCCCGGGACGTCTGTAACACCGGCGGCAGCTGGACGCAACGATCCCCAGACTGTCTGGCGACACCTGCCCCTCTCCATTCCCACAACAACCACTCCTCTTGGGTTGCGCAACAGGAGCTTTCCCCACCGCAGCAGACCGCGTGTTTGACAACGGACGCAAGTAGCCTGGCGACTCTAGGACAGCACGCCGAGGCCGGGGACGGGGGCCCGGTGACGTTGACGACATGGCGCGCCGGACTGCCACCGGACGCTGCGCACGTCATCCACGAGATGAGCACATACGGGTGGTTTGCCACCACCGGCCCCGTCTCTAATACCATGGGAAGAGGCGTGTATGAGCCGGAAATGGGCTCCGTGACCGTACTAGAGCCAGAGACTCAACCTGTATCAGACCTTTACGCTAGCTCGAGCTCGGAGCTGTACGTAGCGAGCTTGGAGCTATTCGAGGCTTTCAAGCAGCCAAGCCTGAGCGGTACGAACTCGGCCGACAGCCAAAGTTGGGCTTGGCCTGCGGATGACGCCGTCGACACAATGTAGCACGCGATGGGCAGTCGTTGGCGCCCATAAGAAGCCCCCCGCCCCAGGCCCTATGGGAACAAGACCAGTCCACTCCGACCGTGGCGCTTGTTGAAAGAGGCAAACTTCACCCGCGCCAATGGGCGTATACTGATACATGACTTGCGTTATTGGTCGTTCCGAACACTGTCCAGAGCGTCGACTCCTCAAGCGCACCGTACCGAACAGGCAGCTCTCTTCCAGGGACATTCCGCCCCGAGACGCGAGTACCAAGAGTTAGGCTGTAGAAAGCCAGATGATGAGTGACGTAAGGTGGATTCGGAATCGCAAACCTGACTTCCCGTCAGCAACGAGCCGGTAGCAGCAGCCTGCCGCGGGACGTTGTCTATGCGCCATACGACACTGCCTACAGAGACAGGCGAACAGCTTGTCCCCGTTCCGAGAAGGGGTTCAACGGACCGTCGGAGCTTAGCTCCATAGGGGGTCTCCGAGATCCTCCCCCCCCCCCCGTACTCAATTTTTTCCGTTCACTGACACGAGATTTCCGAACCCGAATCTGGAAACTTGCCGAAGCTGCCGGACCGGGCAAAGAATACACCTTGTGCGCGCCAATCCCCACACATCATTTCAAACCCCCGCCCCCCCCCCCCAGCGGATTTTACGGTTAGGTACTATAGCTTGGTGCTGTCCTGCAGCTTCGCTCCGGCGGGGCGACGGAATCGCGGTAAGAGGGTCACAGCGTCAGCCGGACCGATTCAGGCGATGGCGCGAATTGCGTGCAGAATGTCTCCCTCAACGGCCGAGAATGATATAGGGCGATACTTCGACGTTTGGTTGGCGCAGTCGGCCCCTCCATGTCGTTGGTTTAGAGTTTCAGCTTAGCGGCTCTACGTACCCCACCCTAGGTGCCACTGGGCCAGCGCCCGCAGCCCTGATGAAGCACAACAAGCATCCCTGGACGAACAGGCATGGATGCGCGAACGGATTCGATGACCCGCAGAAAGGTCTCAGGACCTGGGTACGATTGGCTGGTGCGCGCTCTTGATTACTGTTAGATCGTTGATGCGTTTTCCCGACGGGGTCTATATGTTTTGCTACCCCTCCTAGCCCCATGCTGCAGGATAATCTGGAAAGGCTACAGGCGTGCGGTTATCTCCTGGTTATGAATGTAAATGTGAATGTAGATGTTTATGAAAATGCCAAAGCCTTGTTTTGTGCCGTTCGTCTGTCTTCTGCTGCGCTGTGTTGCTGATTAGGGTGTGGTGTGAACTCAATTGCGTAAGCACTAGCTTTGAGGGAAGACAGCTCTGGCCACCTCATCCTGCACACCCCGTTCCGCGTAGCACGGACAGTACTATGTACTCCGTACTCTAGACCTCTATCCCCTGAATCACGTGCTAAAAATGGCTCAGAATTCTAGGACAAGGTGTCCAATCAACTGACACGCCCCACTGGAGGTGGGGCGGCGTCCAGCGGGAGCCATGTCTCTAGGTACCTAGCGAGATTGCCCGGCACCGATGGAAGCCTGCCAAGATTCTACCTTACACAGTAGCCATCCATCCCCCCCTTGCGGATGTAGGGACTGCTCGCTGAACGTATCCGTACGTGAAAAAAAAAAAAAAAAAAAAAAAAAAAGTCATGCTTCTCCTGCGGTAGCAAAGTTTACACTTTGAAGATCTGGGAAGCATGGCGCCTCATACCGACAGGAGGGTCACACCATATCAGGGGTGAGTTTCAGACTACAGGCTACAGCTAGGCTAGAAATGAAGAGCACGCTATGCTAGAGAACATCGACTGCAGTCTACAGGGGCCACCTGGTTCGTTTGAAACTTTATTTTAGGTGACAGACCAGAACCATCTGTGCGCGGCAATTGTAGGCTCGGCGAACACTACCGAGGATGCCGGAGGGTAACTTAGACGTCCTTGGCGAGCTACGAAGCATGCTGGCCGCCGCGGATGCGGAAATTTTCTCCATCTCGAATGTACGCAGTATGTGTTACATTAGATATAAAATCTGTAGTAAAACCAGCCGTCTCGACATATAATAGGAGCCTTTGTCCTCTCTTTTGTTTTCTTTCTTTTTTTTTTTTTTCTTGGCTATAAGAAAGCGATTAAGCCTGTGTCCAGGGTGGGTTTCGTTTGAATTAGTTAGTGCTTGCGAGAGACGGGCGCCCTAACATACCTGGTGCTACTTTTCTCAATCAGGATTATGTGTCTATGCTGTCTGAGCATTAATTAGCGGGGGTTCTAGCGAAGAAAGCCGCCGATTGTAGGCTTGTAGCCCCCTGTCTCGTTGTCTTAGTAACCTAGCAGGGCCCTCTAAGTTAAGTTGCTAGCTAGCTATTACTAAGGGGTTAAGGTAGTAATAAGAACAGAATCTCCAGCGCATGGACAATCTTTGGGCTTCCCATGACAATGGTATTGAGCTAAGCGTTCGTGGCAGTATTAGGACGTAATTTAATCGGGCAAAGTAAATATTTCTTCTAGTAAGATCATAGGTGTGGCTGTTAGTATTGATTACCTATTTAGCACGGAGCGGAGAATGATTATGTCGGAAACATCATCACGAAAGCCTTTGCTCTATGCTACAGTTAGCTGCCCTGCTGGCTTACTTGTATCCATAGGTCGTCTCGCTTGCTGGCGTCTGGTTCTCTCTTCCTTTTAAAGTCAGCGGGATCTCAGCAGGGAAATACATAGGTTATGAACACTAGACGGTGATATCCGAAACTCCCATGGAAGAGTATACCGCGTGGAGGTTACACTGGAAGAGTGTACGTCACTTTCCCCCCGCTAGCAAGCTTCAATGGTCGGCGTACGATGCAGCAGAAATGGACCTACTAACCTACTATCAGTCTCCTATAGGGCCAGTCTAGGCATCGCCTGGCTATGTCGGCCGTTTACCTGTTGCGGAAGGCGCGCTGTCCAGGTGTCAAAACCACACGTTCTAATTTGCAGGGCAACTTTATCATTAATCATAGGCGGAACATCCACATCGTAGGACAGCTACGATAGTTAAGCTTCGAAGAGCGTAATAATAATTAAGGAGTGATCTGACAAACTGATAGAACCCCCCCCCCCCCCTTGTCAAGGTGAGAGTACCGTGCGTCGTGGCCTTAACAAGGCGGGGGGGGGGGTTCTATCAGTTTGTGTGTAGACTCTAATTAAGACGGTGCTGTTAACCAAGCGGCAGGTTATCCCCGACACTTGGCCTAGAGAGCTACAATCAGAGAATGGAAAAGGGGGGGTGATATGGGGGAACTGGTTAGAGGAGAGGATGTTGACGTGTGCATCCTAGCGCTCATTAACCTGACCATGCTCTGGTCATGGATATTTCTTCCCTTCGAACCTTCCCTTCGCAGTTTGCTGCCTAGAGGCGCACTTTGTTAACTGCCGCATGCTCTGGTCAATGATACCTTAGCGTTCCATTGTGAATGGATCTGCGCGTAGGTTGTTGACCATCGTATATGGTGCCCTGACAGAAATGATGCACCAGGGATGTAGCCGTTGCTAAATTTGGACTGGCCATGACATTGAACGCTTGAAAGTCGTAGTACGCTTGTTGGTGGGGATAAGGAGGCCATCCCAAATGCGGTTGTGTTGGCACCGCTTGAGACGATGCGGATGCGGCTTCAGAGTGCGGTATGTTGGAGAGCTTTAACAAGAACTCCTCAGCGGGTTGGACGGACTCCATATCTCGTTGGATAGATGTCTGGCCGTTCATATGCATTCTGCACGTACTGGCGACGGGCGTAACGAAGTCCTCGCGAAATCTGATGATGCTATCAGGATCAGTGCCTAGAAGAAAGGCGTACTGAACGAGGAGCTCAATGTCGCCAATGTGCCGGCATTCTAATCTCTTCCGCAAGATGTTGGAAGTCTGAGGGGTCCACTTGAGGGATGTTCTCAATGCTTCGCTCTGTGTCCACTCGTTCCAGGCGAGCTGCACCTGGCTCTGACGGAGCAAATTGCCTATCCTTGTGGAGTATGACCATTCGCCACGACTAGCACCTTGCTCAAAGTGCTCGAGGATATGACGGACATATTCTTTGAAGGTTGGGCCGGCGTTGATGTAATCCGGGGCCTCAAACACTTGCAAGCAGGCGTCAAAGCCGCAGGCAAATAACACCTGCGGGCAGAGTTTAACCTTGGCTCCATCTACGCACGCTAGAGAGTCGCGGTGAACCTGTTTCAAGTGTACCTTGTAGGAACCCTGAGAGTCAAACACCATGTAACAGCCATGGTGACGGCAGAACCACTGAGCGTCGTTGTAGTGAAAGTCTTCGATATGTCGTCTGAGGTCGCTCTTCCTTGCGCAGGTCTTGGTGATACCTTCCTCCCCGCACAATCCACACACAAAATACCCATTCCGCTTCGATGTCTTTAGATCAGCGGATGACGTCCCCACTGTCGGCGGTTCCGGCAACCGCTGCTTCACCCGAATACGTCCAGCCCGACGCGTTGCCGAGGTGCAGGTGGCAACGGAAAGGTCCCCACGTTGAATGTGTCTGCTCGGAAGCTTCAAACCGTCCCGAGAGCCCTTTGACACTGCCACCCCAGTAGTAGAGGACATGAGGGGAGAATGGCGTACGCTTTCGGATTCCCGTGGGCCAAACTCGGCTGATCCCGTGGATGATATCGCAGTAGCAATACTTGACGCTTCATCGGGAGCTGCGTTGCGTTCAGCCGGCACTGGAGAAGCAATCGACTCCTGGACCAGGCTCTTTAATGCGTTCATGCCGTATCTATCGACCAGGTGCTTGATCAACTGGCCGTCACCTACTCTCTGCGCAGGCGACACTGTCATGGCTTGCCATGGACCGTTGGCGTCAGGCCAATTATATGAGGCCATCGTTTCGGGTATGGGTCGTTCTTGCTCCTAGTTCGGCAAGAGCAGGATGCAGACGCCGTGTGAAGAATGAGCTAGCTGCAGGCTTTTGTAGAGACTACTGGGAGCTAAGAAGGTGTAACAATGCGATTTATAAACCGGATGAAATGAAGTGGCTCAGAGGAGTCCGTGAGCAGGCTGGAAATATGTGAAGAGTTTGTTGGTGGCTGGGTGGTTGGCGCCGAATGCCATGCAAGCTCTAAACACGAGAACGGTCAATGAATGTTGGTGGGAAGGTGCTGAAGAAAAGAGATAAGGAAGTTTGCTCTTGAGTATTGCTCATAGAGAACAAGGAGGGCGCAGCAACTGGCAAGACTGAACTAGCCTAGGTTCGACAAGTGATAACTAAAAAGGGTTGGACGGATAGTACCATATGACGGATAGTGCTTGGTTTCCGGGCCTGCTTTTAATTTGACATGGACCGATGTGGCCCCTTGGCTAGTACCGTTGGAACCGAAACAGCGGTCAAAATCCCCTTACTGCAAAGCGTGCTAGGGGTGGTAGATGGGCAGGGATGATGATAGTTCATAGCCAGTGGGTCCAGACCGGCCACCCGGTCTGACAGTGCCCCGCCTCCCCGTTTCTTTTCTTTTCTTTTTTTTTTTTTTTTTTTTTTTATGTCTAGGTGGGTGGTCGGGGGTCAGGCAGGGAATAATAAGTGCCAATCTTGTGGGGGATCAACATGTGCTCTAGCCTCGCTCGTATCAATTGAGAGCACAGAAGCAGTCAGACATCGGAGAATTAAGTCTATAATTAGGGGGTCTATCGGCACAATTGGACTAGGTCTAGCTTTCCGTCGCAGGTAGTGATCCATTCCTCCTGTTCTCAGCTGCCCACTCGTCCTAAGTCAAGATGAGTTATAGCTATAGATATATCTTCCTTCCTCTTCGCAATTGAACCTTCATTCTCTATATCACAACGTCATACATAGTCGTTGTATTGGTGATTTCGTGTCGCCAGAGTCCGCCACTTCAAGTTGATGTTGTGACCATAACACAGAGCCAGCGGATGCGAAGTCCCAAGATCACTCTTATATCTTTCCTATCAACAACTCAGAGGCCTGTAGTTATTACCGACCAACAGGCTGCAGCGGGATTGTTATTAGCAGAAGGCTGGGCAGAATAGTTAAGACAACGACCCCTTGCCGATCAGCACTATCTCTAGGACAAACGCGCACCCAAATGACCCCTGTTCCGCTGGAGCAAGCCATGCCGTATTTCCAGGTCAGTCAATATAGTCCTCCTATACTATACTGGGGGCAATTTTGGTTTGCACGTTTGTTCGTATAGCTGCTGTGAATGGTTGTTGTCTTATGACAGCTTCCCAGTATATTGCTATCAGCATGGCATTATAAGCACTGCCATGTCATGTGCGTTGGCACAGCCGGCCTTCTGTATACTAAAAAGACATCTTAGTCATAGATTATGTTTAAGCTCGCGCCTTTCGCGCTCAAAATCTCGCGTTATCTCCAGCCCCGGCAAACCACGACGAACGGTTACCAAGCATTCATTCCCCTATTCCTTTTGTATTCGCTTCAACTTCACAGTGTTAAAGCTGCGTAAGGGAGGACGTCGCATTCGCTCGCGATAGAAGCGGCACCAACACCTATTAAAAAGAAAGGGGGGGGGGAAGAAAAAAGAAAAGAGCCAGATCTCTCCATCACTAGGCACCATGCAACCCAGGTCAGTGTAATACTTGTCGCCTTTACTGCTGAGAGACGGTTGTCTCCGTTAACTAACTCTTCCGCGATGATTACCCTGATATAATCACCTGCGCACTTTTCATCCGCTACTTGCAAAGTTGCATTCTTCTAACCACCCTAAGACCGTCTACCAAGGCCACTCAGAGGTGTTCTGGGTGTGATCTTAAGCCACTAAGAGTTCCCGATTAAGTGTGTGGTTCGGCTCTATGCATTAGATCTGTGTGTCCCTCTCCTCCCCCCTTTTAAAGCTACCGACATCGGCTAACAGCACCCGAGGAAGGTAAGTTGTATGCAGTACCCGGTATACTTAGATTCGATCCAAATATCATACATTTCCTCATTCCACAGTGAACTCTCACACTATGCTGCTCTTGATCCTCACCTGGTTATACTCATTCTCCTCTATCGAGCATACCTAATATAGCCTGTTCTGGCCGCATGGCCCTAAGTGTCTCACAGTCCTCGCTGTACACAAATTTCAACCTTGAGTCATCGAATGAAGTCTGGGCCTAGGGAGCTGATGAAAAATGGCCAGGGCCGCGTCTGAACATAACATTATATGGTCTTAAGGACGAATCGCACCAAGATAAACATACTTATCCCCGAGGGATAGATACGAGGTGTAAGGGTCTAGGACAAGGTCGGTGCCATTGGTCTAGCCTACTACTACGAGTACAATAAATCTTCTTGAAGAACAGGAAACAGAAACGTATCCTCCCTACCTCCTAGGCATTCTTATAGCCTTGCTATTGACCTTGTCGATATTCCTGGAACCTTCTAGCAAATGCGCCATTGGATTTGGTGGGTCCAATGAGTCGTGGCTGAGGGTCTTGCCGAAGGCCGAACACCGGTCCATAGACCGTGACATTACGAAGTTAGGGTTTATGGTTAGGGTTAGGTGTTAGGTTATGTTAGGGTTACGTTACGACCGCTACGGTTGGTCACTGTAGGATTGTAACTATATAGTGCAGAACAGGGGATAATGACAACGGATTTGCCACTACCGAAGCTTTTGCTTTGTGCCACAGTTGGTTGCCCTGACCTGCTCATAACAGGTTATTAGATGTGATAATAGGTATTCGGGAAGGACACCGTTAATTCGAGGTGTTCTATTCGGCACCCCTATGTCCCCTATTTAGCACCCCCGTACTGCAACGGGGCAAGGAAGAAAACTCATCGGTCGTGCTGGGCACTCCACTTCAGGCGAAAAACCCCCTGAAAATCCCCAAACACTTATGCATCGATTTCCCACATAACCACAAGAGATATGAAGATGGTTGTATGAATGCAACCCTGACCAAATTGTGCCTCATCCATAACTTCTACTCTTTTTATCTCTTGGGTTGTGCAGTTTCCTAGGAGAAAATGCGCTGCTGAGAACAAGTTTAGTAGCGCTGTCCACACAGTATTCTGCCCCTTCTTGGCTTCGAATAATCCAAGAGGCAAAGCAGGGATCGAGAAGGAGGACGAAGACCAGGGCTGACCAGGGCCACAAGAGCCCAAAAAACACCCATTTTTATTCGATTTTCAAAGGGTAGGACTTGATAAATTTTTGCCATTGGCTGGGCTGAAAATCCCAAGGGCTCTTAGGGAACTGATCACTCAAGTCATTGAGAAAAACGGAAAAGGTACAAAAACGAGTGTGTTTCTTGCTTGTTTGCTTGGTATTTTTTGTCGTAGGCTGAGCAGGTCTCTATGTACTTATACAGGCCATTTCCTCCTATAATAACGCCTCACGCCTACGAAAACGCCCATCTGACCCCTTGCCTCCAAGTCGAAAATGTCAACAATTCCAAGAACTCTGCCCCCTTCCAGTACTAACAGGAAGAACCCACATCTCACAACCACAAACCTATTACTACTAACCCTAATACCTGACCTATGACCTTAAGCCCTAACCATAATCCTAGCATATTAACGGCGAAATTCGCCATATCTAAGAGGAACTTTCCTAACTTTTTTTTTCCGATTTTACCTGATTTTGTAAGAATTTCTGGACGTCGCGCACGCAATGCGTGCAGATTACAGGCTTGCACATAATTTTCCAATATTCTTAATCTGAGTAGTTCATTGCATCAATAGTATTTAAAGTATATAAATCTATATAACTATACTAAAAAGGGCTTTTATTTGAACATATATAATAAAATAAAAGAATACCGCACAAAACACAAAACATAATACACCAATATTGTACTACATTTTGAAAAGATGTATTGAGTATAATGCATCAATTTAACACATATACCTGTGTTGTATTCAGTATTGTATTCTTGTACTGTACTGTATTGTGGACCTTTTTGACAAACTCTGGCAGATGTGACTGTGGACGGTTTCGTACTAGTCTTAGTTGGGCCGCTGTCTCGTGACCATTTTCGTGCATGATTATTTTCCTCCGTTTTCTTTTTCTTTCTTCCTAAAGAGGGTTACCCTGGTGGTGAAGAGACAATCTCGTTATTTCCACAAGATTACCCCGTTAAATCAATAGTATCCGGTGGGTTAGAAGGAGGGGGGGGGGGGAGAGCAAGAGAGGGAAAAACTAGCAACAGTGCTAAAGTGTCGGGGTTTTAGTCTGGCTAGGAGCTAGCCAGGGGTCTCAATGTCCGCGTTTGTGTGTTGCGCGCAGGTGGGTCGGTGGGTCAGAGTCGATCCGGACATCCCGCGAGGCGGATGGTCCAACGGAATGATGACTTATCTAAGTTATTGAAAAGAAATTGTAAGGAGGAAGCCAGACTAGCATGCCGATTTCAGCTAGGTAAGGGCCATTCAAAAGTAGGATACGTCCAGACTCAGATGGCCTGTCTTTTTACTTCTATCGAGTTGCTTTTCACAATAGATTCTCACTATGAAACCCACTCACTTTCTTTGTATCCCACTGGTCACTCGATTGTCGCGGCCTAGGCTGTCCGCTGAGTTGAGCGCTTTCAAGTCATACATCACTAGTGCGGACAATGTCAGCATCCCGTCGTCCGCAGTGCGTCCCCTCAGCACGATCCACCTCACTCTAGGAGTCATGACTCTTCCGGAGCCTAAAGACGTTGAAGAGGCAACACAGGTTCTTCAGAGCATCACTCCTCTGCTTCCTCAAAACCCCATCATAATCTCGCTCCTTGGCCTAGGAATCTTTCCTGGCATAGACCCAGTACGTGCCGAAATCCTCTTCGCGCACCCCACGTGCCTCAAATATGACTTCGACGCGCTATGCCAAAGAATCCGGCATGTTTTTGAGGATTCCGGTATCTTCGATAAGAGAGGCTTCAGCTTATTCCTTCATGCCACTATCTTGAATGCTAGGAAGATTGCCGACGGGGGGTTTATTGACGCGACGGAGATCCTGAAGGACTACCGGGGACACGTATGGATAGAAAATGTTCCCCTCGAGGAAATCGGGATTTGCCGGATGGGTGCTAAGAAGAAGGGGGTTGATGATGAGGAGTATCTGCTAGAAGCTTCTATTCCACTCATGACTTCAGATGATAGATGAAATATAATGTAGAATTCTGATATAACGTAGACCAACCACTCGCCCGCTTTCGCCCTGTTAGTTATAGAAACCTAGTTTCGTATACTAAGAGACCATTCCAGGATCGGGGGCAGCACTACTACTTACCAGTACGGCGACTACTCTTCAGGGCTAAGGGTTAGTTGATACCGAGCCCGAGGTGACTTATAGCTGGACTTCTGCAAGTCTCTAGCAATCAACCTCGTGAGCATCCTCTGATCCTTTCAGCTCACCTTCCTCTACGAGTAGTAGTCAAGTCTAAGACAAATCATCTTAGCCTCCAATTACTCGATCTACCACAACCTACAGCAGCAATAGAGTCTGCGTTTATTACATCAGACTGCACACCGACTATAAATAGTCTCCCCAACGAAAAGGAATACGACCTCTCTCCTTAGACCTCTTAATAATGCTGCAATTACTTTGCTAGCTTAGCTCCTCTGGATCTGGATAAGTACTTTCTCATGAGTTTGGAAAGGTCCTCGGCTTTCCATTATTGAGCAGACAGAACGACATGTCTTTCTTACTAACGGACAAGCTGTAGCTACTATAACTGTAGAAAGGTCATGACGTGTTTAGGCTGGGTGTCCTTTGGCAGCTCCAGCTAGGAGCCACTGTAGGTTTACGATGTAGGAATTTGAAGAAGTCTTGTGGTCTTGCTCATGAAGGGCCTTTGATCTGCAGTCATCAAGTCGAGAAAGAGCCCTTGAGTGGAGTAAGTAGTCTTTAGCGTTGTCCTCATCCGAAAGTTGCTTGTTTAATTCGTCAACAAGGCCCATCATATCGTCGGCTGGGTTCTCATTCGAATCCCACACAGGTGGACAGCATGGCTGCATCTAATAGATAATGCGGCTTACCTGTCGTAATGTGGAAGGATGCAGCTTATCTTATAATGACTGGTCTTGAGTTGAGGTATGTCCGCCGGATCTCTGCCTAAGGTAACATGAGCAGAAGGTCTCAGGAAGGAATAGCCCTAAAACAGTCATTGGTTGCTAACGGGTTGGGCCTGGCTAGCTCGAGAGGCCTAGACCTTGGCTATGCGCCATGGAAAGCGACCTTGATACCTTCTGTCCTAGCTCTAGATGGCCGTTTGAAACTCTCTGAGGCCTGGGACTATGAGCCTCACTCTATGTCTAATGAAGTGCGTTTGCTTCCGCAATAGCACCCCAACAGCACTAAAGCTGTGAGTTGCTATACTGATGGCCCTGCAGTCAGCGTTGAGTATGTGTTGCGGAGACGTGTAGTCTTTTCTTTTTTATAGCTTCACTTCTGGCGAGCAAGACTATGAGCAACGTCACAACCACAGAAGACATCACAATCCCTGCGAGCTTTGTACCCAGGCCTCTTATCGCCATTCACCTAGGGTTCGAACCCTGCTGTCACAGCAGATTTATCGTTGACGGTATAAATATGGAGGATGGCTCAGGTTGCGGACGTACTCAAGCAACGTCCACCTCCAACATATACACGGTCTGCTTCCCGCCCACCGGCAAATACGTAGTATGTGCCGAAGTTGGGCGTGTGAAGGAAGTGAATCACCGCATCTGGGAAGACCTAGGCTGCGGAAACAACCAAGGCGAGAGTCCTGCGTAAAGGGGAACCTCCCTTATAAGCTGGTCGGGCAACCAAACCTTTTAGTGATGATATGCCTGTATTGCTGTTCCCTTTTATTACATAGTTGGGCGCTAAGCTGCGTATAAAGACCGGATCATAGTTCTTTTACGATCTCCTAATGCCCCACGATAACAGGTGATAGCATGACTACCAGACTGGGAAGCATGGGGGTCTGGGGCTGGGATGTTGCGGCGAACTAAACGGTGAGTCGGTGTGGGTGCGGCTAAGTTCTGCTGGATGCAGAACTCGGAGACCTCACCCCCATGCCGATCTGAAGGTGACGATGCAGGTCCCCATAGGAATTTAGTCATCAGCCAAGAGAAGCAGACACAACAGAATTAACCGTGATTCTTCTCTGCATAGCGTGCAGAGGGAGGCGAGCGGCATAGTTGTTTGAAACTTCCTACTCCTAACACCAGCCCCAACGCAACGTTGCTGGCTGAAATTGGACGAATGATACAAGGTGGTGACGACAAAAGCGCCTGAATGCGTTTGGTCTTCTTATTGGGAGCAGCGATCGGCTCGTAAGAAATTGTTGCCCCGAACGCAGGATGTTGGCCCCAAGGCGAGACATTGCCTCTATTAAGACCGCCACTCTCACTTTGTGATAGAAGTACTGGAGATCAGGATGTTTTGAGTACACACGTAGAACGGTTTACTTCCTCTACTTTCATGCAATCGAACACGAACGTACTTATATTAGCTAGACCGCACTAAAAATCACCCCGAAGTCCTCGACTGCTATGTGGCTACTACCCGCTCCTACACTGAAATCCTGTACGATCAGACCCCGCCCCCGTGGACTATCTGGATCTTGGTTGGGATTTCCATTCCCGCTGCCCGTCTCTTAGGTTAAGCTCCGCGGAACCGGAAAGCCACTGCTAACTCGTCTCCATGACTCACTTGTTTAGTTAGCTAGCACCTCCTCGTTGCTACTGCGTTGGCGGGGTGGGCGTAGAGGGCAGCTATAAGTAGGGGGGGTGGCGCAGCCTTCTAATAACGTCCACTGCAGGCACCACGCGAACGATGCTGCTAGGTTTCTCGGCTTCAACGCCTCAGTGGAAGAGGGGGCAGAGTTATCCCCAACGCAACCATATTCAAGGCACATACTTAACGGTCAGTCATCTGCAGGGTCACTAGGCCTAAAGCGCTCGCCCCCAGCGGAGGACACGTTTGAAGTATTTCGTTATACTCACTGCATCTGCTAAATAGTAGACGGTCAAGATAGCGATAAAGGTGTAACCGTTTCTTCGTTGCGATTATAGTTTGACGGAGGTGCGTAGAAGTTGGTAGAGGTTTGGTTAGTAGAGGTTTGAGAGGTAGGTAGCACGAGTCTTCTGTAGTTCTTCCTTTCCTGCTTGTGTGTGGATCACTTTTTTTTCCCCTCCCCTTCTCTCGATTCTTTTCTTGTTTCTTTCCTTAGTGTTTCTTTCCCGTGGGCGAGCGAGCCTCGCGAGGATGCCCTTCAGTCGACCGCGACGTGGGAATTTGACCTGAGCCTGTGTAGTTGGGAAAGCGCTAGGCGGTATGTCGGAAGGCAGGAGCGAAGGTAGAGACAGGGAAGACACCACACAACTACAACTGCCTTTCCTAATTATTCGGGAGAACCAAACCCCCCCCCCCCCATTACATTATTATATCTAAATTGACACACCATCACCACCGTTACCGTCACCACCACTACCGCTATCACTACTACCGCACTCGCAACCACACATAACCAAACAACATCAAATATTTCACAGCAACCATAAGCAGCTCCTTCCACGCTGCACATACTAAGTAAGGGCTACAAGAGACAGGCATCTTCGCAATCAGCGCGCCTCAGGCCCCCAGCACATAAGTTGAGCCCACCTCTGACAACCTCATCACTCTACATAATTATGACCAACGACACCCAGACTGAGTCTGATAGCACCACAAACTAAGGACCAACAGACAGTACGGCCTCCATAAAACCCCAGTGCTCTTTCCTATTCCACGATGCTGACAGGTGCCCTGGGATCCAAGAGCCCCTCATAATAATAGCTTCTTACCGTACGCTCAACAACGCCATGTAGCTTACCTTGCGACTCCCGCTGACCGGGCTTAACAACCCCCCCCTCCCCCCCACACCCGGTCCATCCGTTCAAGCCTTCCCCTTCCCTCCCGCTATGATGCCGAGTCGACCAGCAAGGAGGCATCGGATAACAAGCCGACCGACGACAACATCCGCCATCTTATTAACGACATGATCGTCACAACGAAACCCTTTCACCTTAGGGCACCTGGTGATCTTCTGTACTATCACGGACGCTGTCCGGGATCTCACGTTAGCCTCCGACAAGATCCACAACAGCGCTCACGCCACTACGCTGTCCATTAGCATAGCCGGAGGCATGGAGCTCGGAAGAGAATAAGAGCGGTCCCGCGTTCCAGGAGTATAGCCGCATGAGGTTCTTCAAGGATAGTGTCTAACACGTCTTAAGAACTCTTCTGTGGGAGATTATAGTGATCACAGTCCCCGATGGCTCCGGTGGCCGCCACAAGGAGCTAAAGCGTGACGCCACCAACGCCCGAGTCCCCTATAAGCCTGGCATTGGGGGCGATAAGCGTGAGGCTCACCTGGCCGACTGCGACGCCGAGTGGCTGGACCAAGGCCTGGAAGAGGCAAAAAAGGTGCCTGGCTAGCTCTTTGCGAAGTACTTCGGAGACATCCGTCCTATCGCCAAGATAAGAGCCTGGAACGCCGCCGAAAGCCACTAATCTGCTACATCAAGCTGCTTTATATAAATAGGGTGCTTTTACTATAGGATAGAGGCTAGAGCAAACAATATGACAACGACTATCGCTAAGACCTTAGGTTTAACATGCTAAGAATGAGTGTGTGTGCTAAGTGTGTGAACTAAGGTCATGCAGCTTAACAGCCTTTTAGGCCGGTGTACTAATAGATTCCTCCTTCCCTTCTAACTTTTCTTTGGCAGTTTGCTGCCTGGAGGCGCACCTCTTTTACTGCCGTATGAAGCTAACGGGGAAACATGTGGAGGGTCACAGCGTAGCCTCCATGGCTAACCCATGGGGTATATGAAGGGGGGTTTTCAGCCGCCTGGCCCAGCAGAAGCGGCCCCTCATCACACCATAGCCCAAATCAAAATTCCTTCAGAATGAATCTCATATGCACCCCCTACTCAAACGATATAACGATACAGCCCTTGCTACTAGCGACATTAAACGTCTTCGAAAGGCCGGTTTGCCACAGGTGTGCGTAGATCATTAATTAACCAATGTATTAAACTCCGTCTTAGCTATTCCGGTCAGCCCCTGGGCCTGGACAGCGGGCTCGGCCGACAGCTACCGCGCCCGCCCGGACAAAATAGCGAGAACGAGATCATCTAGAACAGTATGTAACTTATTGAAGCGTCCCTCTTTGTGTCTGAAGCAATACAAACAGGCGCAGTCTCACTTCTAGTATTTACCCTATGTCCTAATGCTCCTTTTGTGGCCGCAAGCTGGTTGTACTCAGGAAAGGTTATGAGGGCACGTTAACTGAGAAAGTGTCGATGAAGTATCACACTGCTACCACAAGTTTGCAAGAGCCAGATTGCGTTCGAGAAAACATCAAGGCTATGCTATATCAACCATCATCATAAGGCTACTAACTAGCCCTGCGTTACCTATTTAACGCCGGTAAAGCTTATTATGTCCCATTTAGGTGAGCAGGGAGAGCACAGCAACGGGCTAGGTAGGAACGAGTGTATATTCTAGATGTAAGTGCTTGACGACATTACAGACTACTGAAACTGCAGTCCTTGACCGTTTTTATTGCACTTGTTTTTGTCCTGTTGGATATGTAGCTAGCCTTAGAAATTGTCAGGTTAATAGATGCTATTGCCTTTTTCTTCTACAGTTTAGAAGCCATAAAACGGTAGTACGCAAGGCAGTTCCATTCTTTGTTGTATTGACCCTTGGAGAGTGTGATCCATTCTTCGCCTACAGAATAATTAACACAGTTTATCCAAGGTAAGACGGTGAACATGCCTTTTTTGATGACTCTGTCAATGTTAGCTTTCGAAGAGGTTGTAGTACCTCCAAAATCAATACTAGACAGCTTAGGTTTAGTCACTTTCCGATAACGCGCATTAGCCTCTTCGACCGGACATAGGTACTTATTGCGCACGGCTTCCCTTCTGCTGTCCACTGAAGTATTGCTAAACCGTCCGCTCCCCGGCAAGCTACACGGCGGGTTTCTTCAACTGCTGTCTACTCCTAGTCGTCTTTCGGAATGTGGACTCCTGCATCTCGGGGCTGGGCGGTTAGGCTGTCCGGCATCCTTGTGCTCTTCGCTCTCCTCCGAAGTATTGTAGCTCAGGATCTCGGCCTGAACCTTGACACATATGCCCGAGACAAAGCACAACAAATAGTTTACTCCTCTAAGCTCACCTTCACCCAAGACACTATAACACTCTTCAACGATAACCAATTCTATGAGCTTGCTCACTTGGCTTATATCCAAATGCAGACCAAGTTTGATGCTAATCGCGTCAGGCCACAGGAGCAGCCCGCTATGATGGCCGTTATAGCCGTCGAGAAGGACGTATTTATCTCATCCAGTTTGAAGGGAAGCGGCCCTTCTCTGTACAGTCTCGCCCTCCAGCATTCCAAACCACGAGTCGTCGCTGCCCTTGACCGATGCCAAGCCAGACTACAGAGCCAAAAGAAGGTCCCAGTAAACAAGAAGCATCGAACTGAGGCCGGCTGTGCGGAGATTTTCGCTCTTCACCAGGTAAGTCCTGCTCCTTCTGCTACCAGGTCCTTCCCCTGGATCATGGCGCCAATTACCGACGCCTTCGTCTAACGCCTCCCGAGTACCATTTGGACAGCGATGCCTCCCAACGAGCCCACAATCACCCGCGCTCCATTCGCGTTGTAGCCTACGGCAAAGGGGGCCAGACAGGCGTTGTAGGCCGTGAGTTCGTGCCTGTTCTGCCAGTGTATGTTACATGGGTTACGCCGTGCTGACCGGCTTATTGAACAGCTCAAAACCCCTGCGGTGGCGGTGAAGTCATCAACCAGGAGGGTTTCCTAACGTGGGGGTGCAGGCAGTTCATGGCGGACGAAGGGATCACTGTGCCACGGAAGCCCGGCAAGAAAGTCGACATAAGATTGCCACGGCCGTTCCCAACGTTCACGCATAAACAAATCAGCGTCGTTCCCCACGCTCGCTCGCGGCCCACCCTCAATGAGGGTCCGCGCTGAGGGAGGCGAGTATCCCTACGGGTTCATTGATGCTCCGCAGAACATCTACCAAGCCAGTAGACAACATATTCTCGATCATCAGTGGTCAGGAGAAGCGCGGAGCAGCAAGCCAGTCGTAAAAAGACCGATTTGGCGGCGATCTGGGTCGCACTAGGTCATATCATCAGCAGCCGAAATCCACGCCCTGTAACTCAGAGCTTCTCAAAGCTCTTCGATTCGAATCCTTGCCAGCTAGGTTCTTAGACGTAGGAAGGGCGGCAGGTCGAGCCGCGCGATAGAGATATCAGGGATAAGTAGTAGGTAGCACAGCATAGAGGCAAGCGGCGTACAGCCCACCGCATCCACTTAGCTGTAAATTCGGGAACTATTATGCGCTCATCTGTCGCCGGATAGATGGCCAGCTGTCCAGCGGAGGTGAACTTTACTGACTGTTACTTCGCCATCGTTTCGGCCCTAGTGTTTTCATTGTCATCAAGTACCTCAGTCCGACTCATATCATCAACGTTTATGGGGTAGAGCTCGCTGCATACTAGTACTCATGTTTCAGAACAGAGGCTCTTCTTCACGTTATCGCTGACTATTTCAAAGTCGGCTTCGTTGGGACATATGATCCAGATACTATCCTGGTTTGCTTTAATTTACTGTAACGACTGCAGACAGCGTTCTTCAGTCGAGCGTGGGTACTCTCGCGTCGTGCTAGTGCTCAGCAGCAGCGTTGGAAACATTTTGATGATTCCTTACTCATACTAACAACAGAATGAATTATTCCTTGGCTTGAGCCTATATGATGATTTTAAACTTTAGTCACAAATTCAATCCGTTTCGGTATTTTGGACAGCCCTAAGCCCTGCAGCCTAGCTCAGTGAGCCAGTGCACAAGGCAGGTGGCAAGAATCATCGCTAGGCCTGAAGACAGCCTTAGGTCTTAGGTAGCCCTGCTCTATATTTTCTAATCCAGTGTTTGTAATGTCGTTGGGACGACGAGACCCGGCCTTACTGCGTTATATATTCACCCCTTTGCATCGGAAGGAAGGTGCAGATCATAGCAGGGCGGGCCGATCCCACCATCCTTCCACAACAGGCTTCACACAACCGTCTCAATCTGAGATACCTAGGACAAGGGTAGGGGGCGCAGCTGTTCCCAGCATTCTACTGCGCCTGTCATCCGTCCCACTCTCCCGGAAATTGCTTGAGCTGCGAGGTGGTGCCTGCAAATAAGAAAGTGATCACTCCTACCCCGAACAATTAACAGAACTCCCTCCCGCCCACTCTCATCCGCTGAAGAGCATCCTCGACGATAGGCCCTCGCAGACGCCGGATTGTTTCATAAGTGAACCCGTTCTTTGTTTAATGTGTTATGATCTACAGCTACGCCACGCATCCTCGTCGTTCTAGTCTCACGTCTGCCGCCCTATAGCAGTCAACATTCTGTGGGTCTAGAGCCCTCTCGGTAGAGGGTTCAGTGCCAACATCATACCATAGAGTAGGGAGATGCGTATATCATGGTGTCGCAATCAATCTTGACGTACATACGAACAGTCATTGTCATACATACACGAATCCAACATTCCGATCCATGTTAAACCTGTTCCTCAGCGACAGGTGCTCACATGCAGCTATCAACCTACCTCCTGAACTGCACCCTCTGAGATAAACCCTAAGTAGAACCTCCAGCCACCTTACCTATACTTCATTCTAGACAAGACAAACTCCTATACACTTTACCATCTCGTCCGTCCATGGAACATAATACACGCTACACCCATCATCGCCATCATTTCTTCTCTATTAGCATCCGCTGTAGACACTGTTCCCTTAAAGTTCTACTATAAAAGTAAGGCGAGTTGCTACTTGAGTCTAGCATAACGGTCACATGCTATGCAAACAACTGTATCTGGCTTCTGCTACTGTAAGTTCTCTGGTTTGAGGGGTGTTGTGTTCACACCGACCTAGGTATACTGCAACTCCTACTATAGTGTCGATGCTCCCGCAAAGCTTAGGGTCTGCTAAGGCTTTAACGCCACGTAGGATAGCGCCCAGGGTGGCATTGCCAAGACGTTTTAGGCGGAATTCGATTCAATGAAATAACGGCCTAAAGACTAGTCGTGTCAATGGGCGCGCGCGTCGCACGCAATGCCAAAGCACACTATCCTACCATGAACTAGTTAGCCTGTTAAGCAGGCCCAACTTCTAATACCTGCGTTGTCACCTGCTATCACTGAAGTCCGGTGATGGCGGCCGGCGGGTGGTCGCTTTAATTAGCGGCGAGTGTCTGTGCAGACAAGAATAACAAGTTGATTTGGTGAGGAAATGAACCTAGCCTGCCTAGGATGGAACGCCAAGCGTGGGTCGTTATCAGCCATTTCTCGCTCTCCAGCCTCACGTATATACCTACCTAAGTATACATAGACAAACACGCAGCTAGTCACAAAACAAGCCATCCAAAGAGATGCTGCACTACCGCATACAATTGAATTAGTTCATCATCCATAGATTCGCATCCGTAGCAAGATCAGCACATACATACATCCATGTCGGTGCGCCTTTCCCGTTCTAGTCCTTTAGACCATCTTAGGACAAGTCTTTAGTGTGATACTCGGTTAGTTCGATCCTGGTTTGGATCCTGCCTTGAACTCTAGGACGAAAACTTAGAGCTAGAGTTCACCTCAGGGGCATCTGCAACTTGCAAGCGGATAGTACAGCACCCTAGTAGGCAGGCACGTCTATCCCTATGCTCTCCACCATAAGGATAGCTAACACTATGTGATACTCACAGCAAAAGGAGAACAAACAGTGTCCACCCAGTGGTGACCAACGAAATATTAAGACGGGCACGTAATTCCCCATTCATCATATTATGCCCACCTATTAGAAGGCAAAGTGACGCGAGTGAAGTGTAGTCCATGTGTAGTACTTGTCACCGGTAGTCACGGATACAATCGCTAGCCGGCGATGAAGGATTCCGCGCCGGTTAAGGTAGTCTCAAAGTATCCTAAACCTTACTCCTTACTCCACACTTGGCTCTATTCATCCGCACGTTGCGCTCCCATTTTAGGCACGGTTTGCGGTGCGCCCTGAACCCTTATAACGATCCATCCACTAGGAATGGAACGACAATAAGGGGGAAGCGAGTGCTTAGTAGAAGGGAGAGGTGAGCAAGCTAGGTACACGAAACTCTAAAGACAGGGATGCCAATTTCAAAAGCATGCCTTTAACAGAACACTTCTGATGCCCCTATCAAAACGCTTCTTAACCTAGACGACAGCCATCTCTTAATACTTATCATCCTTCTCTAGCATAACTCTTTGACTGAGCTTAGGGTGGGGGGACCTACAACCGGCTCCGAGCATCTTCTTTGCGATCTTGATAATCTCCATCAGAATGTCCGTAGAAGCATCAAGCGTCATTGGCCGGAGAATAGCGGGTGTGTTCAATGAAAGCACATCTGCTAGTGAACTTCCAACCTGGGATAACTTCTCTAAGATGCTGACCCTGTTTACAGCAAAGGTTTTCTGGGGTAAGAGTTTGAGGACAAGAACAATGTCTTGGGCTATGCTCAAGGGATAGCCTAGTGACATACTCTCGCAATAATCCGTGCTCGTCAGCGTCGTCACTGACAAGCACAGCTGCCACACAACAGTCTTAAGCCACCCGCATGTGACGAAAAGCTCGGCTTGCTGCGACTCAGGGTAGGCGGACACGTCGGCGAGGCAGTTTGACAGAGATCTCTGCAGCTGGCAAAGCTGCTCATGATCTGGGGGCCTCGCCGGCTTAATCGTCTGACGTTCCGCATAAGAGTTCCACGCTGTAATAAATTCGGCATCGAAAGGCCGGAAGAGGGAGGTCAGATCAAGAAAGCCATGCAGGATCTCAGAGTCCCCAAGAAGTGGATCGAGGTAAGGTAGGTCTACTGTAGAATGCAAGGCCAGGGTTTTATGTCGTTGAATCGCGAAAGCACGTTCTGTGACGAAGAGGACCCAAAATGCGCGTCTAGCTTCCCTTGTAACAGACAGGTCGGCCGTCTCCTCGTAAGTGGCTTCTTCATGGTACCTAAGCGTCTGTAGTATAGTTATCGCTTCACGAAGGTAGAACCAAGCCGCATGGTCGTTGCGGGGGCTAGGGTGTGCACAATGCAGCATGAAAGAGGTTTGAACTTGTGTAAGGGACTGGTTGTCCGCGAGGTGACAGAACCGTCTCGATCGCAGCACTTCAGAGACTAAGAAGTCGGCCGAGGGCTCTGAGAGGTCGCAATGGCTGCGCTGACGAGGCAACTCTGGCGAATCAGCGGCAGGGGCCGATGACACGTCACGGTCCGGAGCGACGGTGGCGCAACAGGACACAATAACGCCATAGCATCCGGGGCATTGAGCGAAGTTGCGGATGTACTCCTCTATGCGTGCTCGATCTATCATAGGTGTAATGGGATATTTGTGCGTTAGATAGGTGTCGAGGTATTGTCCGACCGTGTGAGTTGATAGCTGCGGCGATGGCCGGAACCTCTCACCCATCCCGGCTATATTCCATTGCAGTTGGCATGTGGAGCATGTCAAGCACGATCGATAGACGTGTCCGTTCGCAGTCTGGATTTTAGAGGCCGGAATGCCGTAGTGAGGATCAGGAGTTTGTCCCTTCTGCTGTCGAATATCAGGTCTCTCTCCATATCTCGGCCCTTTAGGCCCCGGTCTCTTCGGAACTGCGTTATATGAGCAATCAACCTTAGCTAAGAGACAGTTAATGCACTGGTGACGCCCGTCGCACCGGATTTTACGGACGTGGCAGGTATCACACGCCTGCCTGATTCTTATCGTGGGCCGTTTCCTGGGCTTAGACACAGCTTTTCGTGGGGGCATGTCGTCCTATAAACGGGTCTCTCCATAACCCTAAGCAAAACGTCTGCGAGATCGCATATGAACAATAGCGCCAAGGGTTCACGTCCACTATTTTTATCTTTACTATGTCGATCGTGTGCTTAGATCTGGTTTGAAACATTCTACTCCTCTA